GTGTGTGTGTTTGTGTGTTTGTGTGTGTGTGTAGAAGGCTGAATTCTTCCCTTTTAGACCAAACCCTGAATTGGAAACGAGGAGGAGCGGAGAGCCAAAGGCAGAGGAGAATCTTGATGCGTTGGGAAGTTTCTAGTCCCTAGGATCTCACGGGATGAAAATCTACGGTGCCAAACTGGCCACTCGATGGCCTTTCTCTTCCTCCCCACCACCAAAAAAATCCCCACCTGATCAACCCCGAGGAGTCTTACTTGGCAAAATTGGCCAGGTTTTGGGTGACCTTGGCGATGAGAGTCAGCGTCCGGGCAGTGCGGTCGTCCGGGTACTCCTGGAGCAGGTTGAAGAGGGAGGGTGACATGATGGCCGGGCAGAGGAAGCGGAGGAAGAGGGAGGCGCTGATCAGGCGCTCGCTGATGTCCGGCCGGCCGCGACTGCTGCACTCTTGGCGCCACGAGGCGAAGACCTCTTTCAGCTCCCGGGGGAAGACGCTGCGGAGAGAGGGAGGCTGGTTCCAGAGAGGCTTGGTGGGTGCCCAACGTCCCTGTCTGGGTGTTAAGGCCCCGGGCATATGGAGGGCACTGCCACCTGGCATCTCTCCCGAAATAAAGCCGAGTGGCAAAGCATGGCTGGGTGAGGAAATGTGGAAGTTGCAGCCCACAAGTTTGGGCTTCCAGCTCTCCAGAGACGCTCGGCTCCTCCAGCTCTGGTGGTTTGGCCACAGGAAAAGCTCTTAAGAGCCCAAGAGCGAGCCAGGCTGATTTCCCCGCTCAGTTGGCCATCTCCTGGCTGCTTTGAGTTTCTCTCTCTCCTCCCGCCCCCATCCGTGGCCAAAGAAGGAAACACAGCCAGCAGTCTTAAGGGGGATTGGAGGGGTGGACAGCGCAGGCCTCCTGGGACTCTGACTGCCCTCCAAACTCTCTGGGGTCCTCGACATGAAGCAAGATCCTCTCCACCCCACCAAGCAAACTCTGGCACCCACCTACCAGTACGAGTTAATGATCTTGCAGAAGGCCAGTTCGCAGCACATCTTCAGGTTGCTCTGGTGCTCCAGGAGATCCGAGGAGGAGCACTTGCTGGGATCCACCTCGCAGTTTTCGTCCGATTCGTACAGGGCCTTGATGAACTCCCCTGCGAGCGCAGGAAGGAAAAGAAGGGAAGCCAGGGATAAGAGCCCCTTCCCTCCCAGATTCTGGGGGAGCCCAAAGAAAGAAAGTGAAGGGGCTTCTTGGAAGTTCCACCCCGGGGGCAAATCAAGTTACGGGTCCTCATGACTGCCAATCTCGAGAGGGGAACGGGAGAGGGGGGTGATGTAAAGTCGCTGCGGAGCTCCTTCCGGTGACAGGTTCCCTGCGCAAACCCCCCCCCCCAATTCCCCATGCCCCAAAATCACACACTTCCATTTCATGGGTTATTTGCTGCCCCCCACCTGCTCCTGCCCCCCCTCCAGAAACTGGCTTTGCCATCTCGGCTTATAGGGAGCAGATCCCAAGGAAGACGAGCCAGAAGCCGTGCAGACAAAGCAGCCAAGGGCCACCTGCCTTTCTGGCGCTTCCCGGCTCGAAGCAGGTTGTGAAGAGCTGGGGAAGGTTAGGAGGAGATCTCTCCTTTGGGTGGGGAAGGGCTGCTGACCCCACCCCACCAGCTCCCCCCGGTCCTTAATGCCTCTTGGCTGGGGCTGGAAAGCTAGCATCTCGGGGAGAACATCTCCACACGCAGCAGCTCAGCTCTTCAGGGAGGAACTGGAGAAGCACCACCTTCCACGAGGCCAGGTTCAACAGCTGCTGCCCCCAAAGGGGAAGCCCCAATGGAGAGGAGGGGGGGCAGGGCCCAACACACACACACACACACACACACACACACACACACACACACCAGCCTTACCTAAGGCGTCCTGCAGGTACTTCTGGCCCACCAGCTTCAGGTACTCCTCAATGGCTTTGGTGGCCAGTGTGTTTTCTCGGAAGATCAGGTGCTCATTCTCCCCGCAGCGGTCGACTTCGGCCATCATGAGGTCCGTCAGGAAGTCCTGGGAAGGAGAAAGGCCCATTGGGGTGAGGAAGTGCCGGGCCCAATGGGTGGTAGGGGAAGGGCCGGGCACATTCACCCTCTCCCACCCTCCCTGCCTGCCTGGAAGGCCTCTCAACACCCCCGGGTTTCAAATTGCTTTCATTTCCTGGCTTGCAAATTCTTCTCCCTTCCTGTCTGTTTTTGCCCACAATCCTGCTTGCTTTGGGGTGTTGGAGGATTGCTTTGCGGGTGGACTGATGTCCTGGGAAACCACCCCTCCTACTCACACATACCCACGCACACCCATACCCACACCCATCCTATATCAAGGCCAAAGAAAGGATGGACCTCTGCATCAGGGCATCCCTGCTTGTCACATATTTGGGGGAGGGCAGCAGCCCCCAAACTCTTCGCAGCTGTCCTGACCCAGGCTTTGTCAAACGTACTTAAACTCAAACTTATCTTAAAAGCAAAAACTATTTCATTGCAACGCTGGGAATGACTTGCGTTCCCAGTCAGAACTAATTATAAACAGTTCCCCAAGATAAGCACACTCCTTTCAGTGCTGTGGAATGTTGCCAGAAACAGAAGTATAACAGAACCCAACCAAAGTACCAGAAAAAACTAACTAGAGTACACAGAGCTTCAAGGAGGACAGTGTGTGTGTGGTGTGTCTGTGTGTGTGTGTGTGTGAAGGTGGATGGTAAGTGCTTGATGAGCCCTGTCCTCTCTCTCTCTCTCCTCTCCTTCACCTGCTCGTCCCCAAGTAATTCTGCAGAGACAGGAGTGTGAGGGTGTGGGGGTGTCTCACAGCAACACTTTCCCCTTTGGGGGCTCAGAGCTTTGCAGACTTGGCAGATTTTACGAGCATCCTCGGAGCTATTAGGACCAAGAGGGGTTATGAGCCCTGAAAGCAGCAGAGCCCACGGCTGGCTGGCAGCAGCTGCGACTTTGCCCCCCTCCCCAAAACATTATCTGGTTCCTGATGCGGTTGGTTTGCCCCAGGCCGCCTGTTTCTCTGTGTCAGCAAATGCCAGACATCTCCCCTAGATTGCCAAGCCCCCCCCCAGGAGAGCGGGCAGTCTGTTTCTGTCGAGTGAAGCTCCGTGGGGTAGTGCCGCCCTCTGGGAATATCTTGTGGGGTGGAGGGAGAGTAAGGAACCCTGTCACTGGCCTGCCTGGAACTCCAGGGCCCATCAGCCTAATCCATGCATTGGCTCCAATATGTTACTATGTCGAGCTCTCCCCACGGAGCCATTCGGAGCCCCCATATGCTAAGGCAATCTACCTGAGCAGCAGCTTCACCCAGAACAGCAGCAAACGCAAAGCACTTTGCGTGCATTTCACGTCAAGGGGAAGGCCAGGATGGGCGATGCACCTGCCTGCAGCCGCTTCAGGGCTCCCAGGCAAAGGGAGGGACCCCAAAGAGGCTTCTTTGGGGACCAGATTGAGATGAGGGTGGGTGGGGGATACATGGGCTAACTCCTTGGCCGCCACTCATGCCTCTCAGAAGAGCCGATTACTCCCCGATTACTCCCGAAAGGAGGACCTTCACTGCGCTCGTAAAATTGATTAAAGCCATAATTAGCTGGACTAACAGCTCTTGTAAGAAATATTGGCCAATCCCCCTCCGCGCTCTGAGAGGAGGGGGCTGAGCGGAAGGCCTGTGGGATTTACAACTGGCCAGCAAATTCTAGCGCTCTCTCCACGATGTAAACAAGGCGGAAGGAGGCTCGTACGGGTTGGCTACCCAATCCATCCATGGGGAGGGGGATCCCGAAAACATACATGCCTCCTCCAAGCACCCAGGGCCACTTGCTTGGAAGGGGAGCCTGGCAGAATTGGCAGGAGGAACAGCCAGTAGAGATCTGGGTGGCTGAGAGCAGAGGCAAGGCAAGAAATCCAGAGGAGGCCGCGCAGCCCATCCTGCAGGGGCTGATGGGCTACCTCATCCTTCCTGGGGTGGAAAGGGGAGGGGGGTGTTTACTTTACTTTACTTTATTGTCATTGCACCTCGTACACTGAAATCAAACACCGTCTTCAGGGCACATCGTGAAAATAACATGAAAATAAACACAAACACACATCCTTCACACCACATTGAATGGAAAAACCCCCGACACCACACCAACACTGCACTATACAGCAGAATTCAACAGAGCTACTGCCCTGGGATAGAAGCTGTTTTTCAGCCTGTTTGTCCTTGTTTTTATTATTGTCCTGTACCGTCTTGGCAGATGGTAATAGTTCCAAAAAAAAAAAAAAAGGATGCCCAGGATGAGATGGATCTTTGAGAACGGTTTGAACTTTCTTGAGGCAGCGAGAGAATGTTTTGAGCTTTCTTAAAGCTCTTCCAAAAAGGGGAGAGGGCAATTGCATTCTATACAATTGATATTGTGTTAATATTGCATTATATGGTAGAATTCCACAGAGCTACTACTTTGGGATAGAAGCTGTTTTTCAGCCTGTTTGTCCTTGTTTATATTATTGTTCTGTACTGTCTGCCAGAGGGTAATAGTTTAAAAAAAAAAAGGGTTCCCAGGATGAGATGGATCTTTGAGGATGTTTTGAACTTTCTTAAGGTAGCGGGAGCTATAAAGCTCTTCCAAAGAGGGGAGAGGGAAACCCATGATCTTCTGGGCAGAGACGTTGTCCCAGGAACAGCAGTCCAGACAGCACATCATAAGGAAGTGGGGAAGAAAAACCCACACTGACCTGCCAAGCTTTGCCAAGACCTTCCCACCCTTCCAGGCTGCCTTTTTTTTTATGGGCACAGCAGTTCTGTGACAATTTAATTCAACCTTTCGAAGTCAAAATGATTCAGGGGCAAGTGACAGTTTGTTGACACAAAGGATCAGTTGCCCAAGCTAGGCCAGAGCTGGGTTCGACTCCCTGAACGGAAGTCATGCCCTGTTCCCCGTGGGAGCGGGTGAGGCCTCCCTGTCCTTACCTTGGCTTTTCCTGTGCTCTGCAGGATGTGGACCAAGGCCGAGGCCATCTCCTCCTTGTTCTTGACACTCAGCAGGGGCTCCAGCACGGAGCAGAGAACCATGTAGTTGTTGGTGATGTACTCCGCAAACTCCTTGTACGTTTCCATGGGGAGCACGCTCATGCTCTGGTAGCGTGACTTGATGCGGATCATGGGCCCTCCGGACTTGCCCTTGCTGGGGTTGGGCGTCACGACCGGGTACCACTTCTCCACGAACTGGCGCCCCGTGACGGAGCCGGCTGGGATGCTGACCAGCCCGATGAAGTTGGTCTTGTCTTTCTTCTTCTTCTTGTCCGTCTCCTTGTACAAGTGGATGGCGATACTCCGCAGTGGCGGGAGGTTGTTGAATTCAAAGTGCTCTCCCCAGAAGACATTGTCCGTTTTCAGCTTGCAGGTGGTGCGGGCGTAGAGCGCCTCGTCCAGGCAGAGTTCGCACAGGTAGCGCTTCTTTGCGGGCAGTTCTTTGGCTTCGATAATCCATAGCTGGAGCATGTTCTCCACTCGCCGACTGTTGTCCTGGGAAGGAGATGCAAAAGAAGCGATGATGGGCTTACCTCCGCATAGATACATAAAGGGATCTCGTCAGGCCAACGATTTGTACCCTTGAGAATTTTTAGCCACGTCCCTAACAAAACAACTTCTGGATAATATCCAGTAAACCCTTGGTTGAGCAGACTTCAGATACATCCGAGAAATGTCCCAAATGTGTCAAGACACTTGTGCAAATAATGCCATTTACATCAATTATATATGGGTAGACTAAACCAATGGTGTACATTTGTATTTAACAGATGTTTGGATTTAAGAGATGTTTGCATTTAACAGACATTTGGATTTAACAGACACTTGGATTTAATGGACTCTTAGATTTAACAGACACGAACCTTTTCCAAAGCATTCAGTGAACAGACGTTCTACCAGACTACGAGATCTGTTATCCCTGCTAAACTTCTCCCTTAAAGGGAGTTGAAAAACTGGGGAGAAACAAACAAAGGGACATCTTGCCAAAGACCTTCCCCAACACTACCTTGTTCGGGTGCACGGCTCGCCGCAGATTCTCCATCCATTTGTCCCGTTCTGCTGCAGACCGGCAGGAAAAGCATTTGCTCCCAGACGATGTTGTCACCTGGGAGAGAAGAGAGAGCTGATGGCCGTGGGGGTCTCCGGGCAAGCAAGCAAGAGCAAAGACCCTCAGATCCTCAGCGATTAAATACTGAGGTCAAGCTTGGGCCAATGGGGCACAATGTTCGGGAAGCACTGTCAAAAATCAGCCACCTTTCCCGATTCTACCCTCATGAGGTTGATACTGAGGTAGGCTGCCTCTAGCTGTGGAGGTTTCATCCTTCGTCTCCTGAGCGCATCATAAAACCAAGCAGGACCCACACCTGGTTCTGCCTTCTGCTTTCCATCCAGCAGCGCTCCGTCTCCCTTCCGGCCCCCACCGCACCCACCCCCAGCTTGCCCCTCACCTCGAAGCAGAAATCCTGGCCGAGGATGCTGCTGTGCACAGGCTTGATGACCACTTCCTCCTCCATGCTGAGGTCCAGGGCTTCCACCGCGCTACCAGGGCTGAGCAGTGACTCGTGGGAACGCGACTCCTTCAGCCTCGGCATTAGATGGGATCTGTGGGTGGCAGGGAGGAGGAGAAAGGGGACTGAGAAGAGCCTCCAGCACTCAGCATCTCCAGCGGCCCCCTCAGGGTTGCAAAGATGGTTTCTCCCCGTCCAAACACCCCCAAGACCCACTGCGCAGCAGAGTCCGCCCAGCCTGGAGGGAAGGAGCCGCGACTGCTGAGATAGACTTCCTTCAATCACCCACCCACCGGCCCTCGGGCGACCGAGAGTCCACCTGCAGCGGAAACCGAAGGAAAAATCTGAACAAAGGAAAGGAGGCAAAGCTGGGAATTCAGAAAGCAACGGAGCAACAGCAGGGTGGCCCCGAGCGAGCGGAGGAAGCCTGGGTGGGGGGGGCACTGGAGGGGGCAGCGGGATGGGAGGAAGGAGAACTGGGCTGGCAGGAAAAGGAGTCTCTGGGGCTGGGTTGGATTAGCGGGGATCTCCTGCAGGAGTGGGGGGCAGCCATGCTATGACAAGTCTGACCAGGGGCCGATCCTGGCATCTCCAGAGAAGCACAGAGGGGGATCTGGGGCTCACTTAGAGGGTCCCCCCTCCCCAGACTCTCGGCTCAGAGGTTGGAGACTCCTTTGTGAAGGTTCTGGATGGGAAGCAGGAGGGCTGGGGTGGTCCAGAGGGCAAGGAAGCTATTTGTAGGACAGTGTGAGCAAGAGGCTGGAGGGAGGAAGAATAGCTATTGTTGGACTGGGAGGAAGGGGGCGGAGGGGGGGGGAAGCTGGGGGCTGGGGAGCTCAGCAGGGTGGGAGGAGGGATCAAATTGGAAAGCCCTCCAGGAGGAACCTTTTGTGACAAACACATGTTGTTAGAGGCGTCATCAGCTG